CCTGTAGTCCCAGCTACTCGGGACGCTGAGGCAGGAGAATTAGCTGATCCTGGGAGTTTGAGGCTGCGGTGATATATGATTGGGGCCACTACACTCCAGCTTGGGTGACAGAGACCTTGTCTCCAAAAAAAAGTAAAAGACAAAGAAAAAAGGCCAGACACGGCGGCACTACAAAAAGTATACACACACATACAAAATTAGCCAAGTGTGGTGGCACACACCTATGATCCTAGCTATTCAGGAGGCTGAGGCAGGAGGATTGCTTGAGCCAGGAGATTGAAGCTGCAGTGAGCTGTGATTATGCCAGTGCACGCCAGCCTGGCAACAGAGTAAGACCCTGTCTAAAAAGAAAAAAAAAAAGAAATCTGTGAGTCAAGTATTCTTACCTCAGCTTTACAGATGAGAAAAACTGAAGTCAAAAGATTACACATTTATCCCAAGTTATGCAGCTGGGGAAAGATGAAGCCAGGATTCTAGCCAATCCAAGCCACTTGACTTTAAGTCAATATGACATCCATTTACCATGTTTCTCATACCCATCTTGGCTCCACTGAAACACTGGATTTGCTTAAATACTTTGCATTTAGGAAGGGCGGTAACAACTTAGAGAAAGACAAGGGTTTAGGAGGAGAAGGGAAAGTCAAGTGTCAGCTGAGACATTTTGTGAAAAAGTTATGTCATTAATTTAATAACAAGATATTGGTTTGCTTTTAGGTATACTGTGGTCTCACTAGCCAAGGACAGCTAATAGCTGTAAAACAGGTGGCTTTGGATACCTCTGATAAATTAGCTACTGAAAAGGAATACCAGAAACTACAGGAAGAACTAGATTTGCTCAAAGCACTGAAACATGTCAACATCGTGGCCTATTTGGGGACATGCTTGCAAGAGAATACTGTGAGCATTTTCATGGAGTTTGTTCCTGGCGGCTCAATCTCTAGCATTATAAACCGTTTTGGGCCATTGCCTGAGATGGTGTTCTGTAAATATACAAAACAAATTCTGCAAGGTGTTGCTTATCTCCATGAGAACTGTGTGGTACATCGTGATATCAAAGGAAATAATGTTATGCTCATGCCAACTGGAATAATAAAGCTGATTGACTTTGGCTGCGCCAAGCGTTTGGCCTGGGCAGGTTTAAATGGCACCCACAGTGACATGCTGAAGTCCATGCATGGGACTCCATATTGGATGGCCCCAGAAGTCATCAATGAGTCTGGCTATGGAAGGAAATCAGATATCTGGAGCATTGGTTGTACTGTGTTTGAGATGGCTACAGGGAAGCCTCCACTGGCTTCCATGGACAGGATGGCCGCCATGTTTTACATTGGAGCGCACCGAGGGTTGATGCCTTCTTTACCAGACCACTTCTCAGAAAACGCAGCAGACTTTGTGCGCATGTGTCTGACCAGGTAAGAAACTAAAAACAAGAGGAGGAGGATAAATTCCCAGAGATTCCAAGTGGCTGACATTTCACCTGAAAGTTATGGCCCATTAAAAGCTCTGTTTTGGGGATGAAATCAAGTAGAGGGTGATTTTGTGCTGAAAGTCATCATAATTAGTCACATTGGGTAATTGTGTGCATTGTTGTATCAGGGTATAGGAGGCAATGCTTCAAGTAGAAAGTGCCTCCATTAAATGTCTTCTCAAGTTCTATCAATACTTGCCCAAAGCAATGGGTTTACAAAGTTTGTTAAAGATGTACTTATTGCCGGGCGCGGTGGCTCAAGCCTGTAATCCCAGCACTTTGGGAGGCCGAGGCGGGTGGATCACGAGGTCAAGAGATCAAGACCATCCTGGTCAACATGGTGAAACCCCGTCTCTATTAAAAAGACAAAAATTCAGCTGGGCGTGGTGGCGCGTGCCTGTAATCCCAGCTACTCAGGAGTCTGAGGCAGGAGAATTGCCTGAACCCAGGAGGCGGAGGTTGCGGTGTGCCGAGATCGTGCCATTGCACTCCAGCCTGGGTAACAAGAGTGAAACCCCGTCTCAAAAAAAAAAAAAAAAGATGTACTTATTTACTAATAAGACATCTTCCTAGGAACTGGCTAGGGTGAAATGACAACTCATTGAATTTAAAGTGAGGGGAAACATTTTGAGCCAATGAAATAAATGTCTAATTGGAGATTTCAAGCATCAAGTGGAGGAGTGTTTGGTGAATCAGAAGAGCCTTAGAAAATTGCCTATATTCCCCTTCCTTATCTTCTCTCATATCTATAAAATTAAATTCTGGCCGGGCACGGTGGCTCAAGTCTGTAATCCCAGCACTTTGGGAGGCTGAGATGGGTGGATCACGAGGTCAAGAGATCGAGACCATCCTGGTCAACATGGTGAAACC